CATATATACTTGGGTATATGCCGACCCGAATATAAGCCAAGGCACCTGATTTTACTACAAAAAAAACTGGGAAAACATATTGACCTGAGGATAAGCCGAGGGTGGGAAATGCAGCAGCTACTGGTAAATTTCAAAATAAAAAATAGATACCAATAAAATTACATTAATCGAAGCATCAGTAGGTTAAATGTTTTTGAATATTTACATAAAACTGTAATTTAAGATAAGACTGTCCAACCCTGATTAATCCATTATTCTAACCTTTAATGTAACTGTGCTTATGTATCCTTCCAATAATAACAGAGTAAAACAATAAATAACAATAACAGAGTAAAATAATGGAAATGCAGTAATAACAGAGTAAAATAATAAATGTAATAATAACAAAGTAAAATAATAGATGTAATAACAATAGAGTAAAATGACAAATGCTATAATAATAATAAATTGAGGAAAATAATAAATGCAATAAAATAATAATACTAACAGTAAAATAATAAATAACCTTGATTTGAGTATAAGCTGAAGGGGACTTTTTCAGCTGAAAAAAGGGCTGAAAAGCTAGGCTTATACTAAAGTGTGTGTGTGTGTGTGTGTGTGTGTGTATATATATATATATATATATATATATATATATATAGTTCATTTACAAATTCTGTCAGGGTGACTTCTCTTGATTTGTTAGGGGTGCCTAGTTTCAGAAAAACATCTACTTCTGCTTCATTGACTATTCTAAAGCCTTTGACTGTGTGGATCATAATAAATTGTGGCAAGTTCTTAGTGGGATGGGCATCCCAAGCCACCTTGTCTCTCTCCTGAGGAATCTGTACAAGGACCAAGTAGCAACGGTAAGAACTGACCACGGAACAACAGACTGGTTCAAGATTGGGAAAGGCGTACGGCAAGGCTGCATCCTCTCACCCAACCTTTTTAACTTGTATGCAGAACACATCATGCGATGTGCGGGGCTGCATGAATGCAAAGCTGGGGTGAAAATTGCTGGAAGAAACATTAACAACCTCAGATATGCAGATGACACCACTCTGATGGCCGAAAGCGAGGAGGAGCTGAGGAGCCTTCTAATCAAGGTGAAGAAGAAAGCGCAAAAGCCGGGTTGCAGCTAAACATCAAAAAAACCAAGATTATGGCAACAAGAATGATTGACGACTGGAAATAGAGGGAGAAACCGTTGAGGCCGTGACAGACTTTGTATTTCTAGGTGCAAAGATTACTGCAGATGCAGACTGTAGCCAGGAAATCAGAAGACGCTTACTTCTTGGGAGGAGAGCAATGTCCAATCTCGATAAAATACTAAAGAGTAGAGACATCAGAATGGCAACAAAGATCCGCCTAGTCAAAGCCATGGTATTCCCTGTAGTCACCTACGGATGTGAGAGCTGGACCTTAGGGAAGGCTGAGCGAAGGAAGATCGATGCTTTTGAACTGTGGTGTTGGAGGAAAGTTCTGAGAGTGCCTTGGACTGCGAGAAGATCCAACCAGTCCATCCTCCAGGAAATAAAGTCCGACTGCTCATTGGAGGGAAGGATACTAGAGACAAAGTTGAAGTACTTTGGCCACATCATGAGGAGACAGGAAAGCCTAGAGAAGACAATTATGCTGGGGAAAGTGGAAGGCAAAAGGAAGAGGGGCCGACCAAGGGCAAGATGGATGGATGGCATCCTTGAAGTGACTGGACTGACCTTGAGGGAGCTGGGGGTGGTAACGGCCGACAGGGTGCTCTGGCGTGGGCTGGTCCATGAGGTCACGAAGAGTCGGAGACGACTGAACAAATGAACAACAACTTGCTTCAGAAGGAACTGTTTTTAAACATTTTAAATTGTGACGGCTTCATGTTGTTTTATTACAACATTACGTAAACTGCCTTGGCTTAAGTAGAGAGGATATATGTATGTAAAATAAATAAATTTGCATACTTGTTCCTTTTTTGAAGTTTAAAAGGGCATCCTCTCAGCAGTTCCTACCCAATGCAAGATTGTTTCTTTAAGTTGGTGATTGGTGTAATCCTAAAATAAGGCACAACTATTTAAAAAGCAGAGATGTCAGCATTTTCAAGGTATATAGTTTTCACATGAGCTTCTTCAACATTTGTGGTGCCACAGGCTTCAATTCCAAGTCTGTGCATACCTGACTTGATGTGCTAATATGGTTTTTAATGCTGGTATAATTTTAAGACATGAAGGTTATTTTATTTCTAAACTTTTTTTAAAAAAAGTAAAGGGACAAGAGACCTAAGAGGGGCAAATATTTCCCTCAGTTCTCAAAGGACTGAGGCTGAAGAGGTGCCCAAGGGCTTTTTCTGTGTGTTAGCTGCTTCTTCACCAAGGTGCTTTTGTGGGCTGTAAAGGTGACCTCATTCCATGCATTTAAGGCTGGGACTGGGAAGGAAGATGATGCCCAGTTGGCAAATACTTCCTTGGCTTCTTGCGCCAGTCCCTTTCTTCATGAGCTCCAATACAGATTTCTTCCAGAGTTTAGGCCAAGAGGGCAGCTTTGCTGGAGTTCAGCCCATTGGCACTTTTTTTGATCAGGGTAGGACTGCCAGGTAACAGGCAAAAGTCAAGTGGCCTGTGCGGGGAAGAAAGAACCCTTCTGCCATCTAGTGGCTTCTGGATTAAAAGTCACTTGAAATCTGGAGACACCTTTAAGCAAATATTGAATTTATAATTTCAGACACAGGGCTACCCCAAGTCCTTTCTCTTGTCAGTGCTTAGAGAAACGAAGACCTAGAAATAAAGAACATTCAGGATGGGAAAAATGCATTTTCATCCCAAGACTCTGTTTTTCCAGTAAAAAGCCGAGGAAAATTGATTATATAATCTTCTTTTAGAATAATAAGAAAAAGTATCCATACATTTATACCTCCAAAATCATTTCTGAAAACTATGTAAGAGGAAGGCTTTTATGTGAGGCTATGTGTATTTCTGGTCATGGTTCCCTTTTTTTGTTTTGTTACTTTTATGGGAAATGGTTTATTGTGTTTAGTGTATGATGACACTGTGGTGATAAAACAATGTTCTTTTACTGGGTTGTTGTAGGTTTTTTGGGTGGTATAGCCATGTTCTGGAAGCATTCTCTCCTGACGTTTTGCAGGCATCCTCAGAGGTTTTGAGGTCTGTTGGAAACTAGGAAAATTGGGTTTATGTATCTGTGGAAAGTCCAGGATGGGAGAAAGAACTCTTGCCTATTGGAGCTAGGCGTGAATGTTCAATTGGCCACCTTGATTAGCATTTGATGGTCTGACAATTTTTGGGTGTGGCTTGTTACTGCCTGCGGGAATCCTTTGTTGAGATGTGATTAGCTGTTCCTTGTTGCTTCTTATCCACCCCGAGTCCCTCTGGGGAGATAGAGCGGAATATAAATAAAGTTTTATTATATTATTATTGTCGAAGGCTTTCATGGCCGGAATCACTGGGTTGTTGTAGGTTTTTCCGGGCTATATGGCCATGTTCTGGAGGCAATTTTTCTCCTGACGTTTCGCCTGCATCTATGGCAAGCATCCTCAGAGGTAGTGAGGTTTGTCTGGAGTTCCCCTGCGTTTGAGTTTTGTTCTCTATTTACTGTTATAAATAAAATGTTCTTTTACGTATTTCCCTTCAAGTCATCTGTCCATGGGGCAACCCAATAATTTTGCAGGATTTCTTAGGTGATTTTGTGGTTTCCTTCTTCCAAAATAAAGTCGACAGCACCTTGTATTCACTCTTAGGAGTTCTATCTGTGCCACCAAAAGTTCAAAAATGACCACATACATTACAATAAACCAAAATCTCCAGATTTTGGTCAAAGGGATAACTTTTCCAACCTCTGCATCACCCTCAGTATAATAAATGCACTCTCTCATACAAACATGAACTTCACACACAAGCAGAATGTTGTTATATCTCTATTTATTACTTCACATATCTTGCAAATTGGGCAGAGAGACAGCCCTGCTCTTTGAGCGAAAGTGGTTTATCACTAGAGCCATATTCTGCAGGAACTCTAAAGCAGCACGAGAGCACAAAGCTCTCTGGTAAAGCACTAAGGCCACACTGCCAGCCTGGAGAGAGGCCTAAGGCATGGAGGAATCGAGGCTGGTGTGGGCCAGGGAAGTCATGCACTGCCCTAGCTGGAGTGGGACTATGAAGAAAGAAATGCAACCAGGAGCTGAATATCCTTGTGGAAGACAATGGGGCATGCAAGAGTGCAAGTGTATGAGACAAAAGAAAACAAACTGATTTGTTATGGTTCCATTCTGTAATTCCAATTTTGCTACATATAAGCAAACCACTTCCTTTCTAGCAACTTCCCAACCCAAAGTATGGAAAAATTGCTTCTAGCACTACAAGTTCCAGAATTGCCAAGCCAACAAGCTATGCTGAGTGGAAGAATCAGGGAGTTTTATTACCAAAGGTAATTTTCTAATTTTTGCATAAGATCCATATAGCTGGCTTGTGCCTACTGGTAACATAATTCTCAGCTCTCCTTAATCAGATGAGGGATGATTCACATGAGGAAGACGGTGGGTGGGCTTTTTTTAAAAAAACAATGCAGCGGCAGAAGCCTGGAATTGGAAAAGGCTGCTTGGCATCTTTTTCACTTTTAAGAATTTAAAATATATTAACATTTCTATTTCTGGAGTTTAAAACTTCATATGAGGCAACCAAACCTGGGAAAAAAACAGGCTTAAGGGAGAGAGGCAGAAGGGCCGCTGGGCAGAATTCTCAACCAACAGCAAAAGTCTCAGGCCTCAGGTCCACATTCTTCCTCTCAACCTTAGACTTTCACCTTGCTTTGTCAACCTAGCATTTTTAAAAACTGCCAGATCCACATTTTATTAAATTTCACTACTTTGTCTGGCATGAAAATAAGATGATAGAGGACTTTCAATCGGTTTGTCAAATGCCAGGCATGACTTCAAAAACCGAAGGGGACAACTGCAAATGACCATGTATAGGCATAGTAGCTCAACAAACATTTACTCTCTGTTTCCCTCTCTGATACTTTTTGAAAGGACACATATTTTATGTGTGGAATGCAGTTTCCAGTTGATGTCAGAGCAGCATTAAAGTTTGACAAGTCTTCTGGATGGTTTCTGTTAAATTACTCCAAAATGTGACAGTTGGATGGACATGCTTCAAAGATAAATCCAAGCTGGCAGGACTGAAAACCAACAGGTCGCAGGTTCAAATCCGGGGAGATCATGGATGAGCTCCCTCTGTCAGCTCCAGCTCCCCATGTGGGGACATGAAAGAAGCCTCCCACAAGAATGGTAAAACATCAAAACATCCGGGCGTCCCCTGGGCAACGTCCTTGCAGACAGCCAATTCTCTCACACCAGAAGCAACTTGCAGTTTCTCAAGTCGCTCCTGACATGAAAACAAAATCCTGCACAAGTTGACTACAGTTCAAGAGCAGTGGCTTTCAAATAAAGGTTGGCTGGGAATTCTGCCCTCATTCTAAGAGACAGAAAAGCAGGGCATGATGGAGAGCTCCATCCACAGCAGTGTAACAATTCAGCATTATAATTGGTGAGTAATATTCCCTCCTAGTTTTGCTTGTTATGCCATTCAGAAACTCAAAGTGGAAATAATAAAAGCAGGAAAAAGGACTTAGCCAAGGCCAAAGATAAACATTTCAGGCAAGGCATGTAGTATGTGAATAGGACTCTAACCTTTGGTTGTGCTAGCCTATTTATTTATAATGCTTCTATATTGCTTGACTGACCAAGTTCATGCTAACGGCTTCAACAAAGCTGCAATATTAGTTATTCTGCATAGTTCTTAAATTGCCTGGGAAGGTGCTGGGATTAAAACACAAGAAGCCCAAACCAACAGAGATGCCAGATGAGACTCTGAATGTGTACTGAAGCTCTCCTGTGTCTTTCCAATTACTTGCTTTTCTTCTCAATCCCCTCTTCAGAAAAAACAATGTCATAGAGGAAAGAACAATTCAGCTGCCCAGTGTCTTTTGAAAGCAATGGTTATACCTTGATTTTTGAACACTGCCATGATAGGAATTTGTTACTAATCATATCCTGCCTTATTTAGTTTAAACAGTGAAGGGAAAATGAACCCTCCAGCAGCATTTGGACTGGGAGGGCACTATATAGTCTAGATTTCTTCTCTTAACTGAGATTTTTCATAATTTGTTTTCACTCTGCATTTAAAGGTTGCATGACTAATTCTGCCTACTTTGTGCAGAGGGCACAGATATCCTGATGCATAGCACTTCGGTTTTGTGATCAGGACCATTCGCTCAGCCGCCTGTGATCTGGCGATGCTTCTTCTTGGAAAAGGCTACAGTTTTCAAACCAAGTGCACTACATCTCAGTATTTTTGCAGGAGTGGAAACACTCTCTGCTGGGAGAACAGTTGTATTAGTTCTTGGAAGTGGGATCCTGAGTGGTCTTTGCAAAAGACTTCCCCACCGCTGGGTGGGTGTATTCTTTTATTTAAGACTGAAGAGTAGAATCCAGGGCTCATCTCCCTTTTGCCCATTGCCACTGAATTTACCAGTGAAAAGCAAAAACAAAGAGAAATGATTCCAGGAGAGAGGAGCAGGTTTCCTTGCAAAAGCAGAATCAGTAACAGGACCAAGTGGTATAAAAAGGCCAACCTTTTAGGAGAAGCAACAATGCCCCACCAAAGTCCTTCTGCCAACTCTGAAGGGAGCCCCTCCTGATAGGCAGACTAACTCTGAAATCAGCACACGCTCCTGATCTTTTCTCGGTTGCCCCAATTCAACAAGAGCTGTCACAAGGTATGCTCACAGCAGGAAAGATCTGCCTCCTCTCTCCCCTGGCCCCTAAAAGAGAGACCGATCCCTACAGAGACAATGGTGTTGGTGAGAGCAAGAGTCCTTGTGCTGTGGGGTTCGACTGTGTGGGTGATCAAGGGGGATGGAAGACTCAGACACAGCAGTGGGTTGATGAAAGAAAGGAGGGGAGTTGGGCCATCCGGTTCAGCCTGAAGGAGGCACTTGGGTAGCCCAGTCCGAGAGGGTCAGCGCAGCCTGAAGTTCCACCTCTGCTCTAGCCACACATTGTGAATGTCAGCCACTGTGAAGGAAAGACAGCAACAGTGAATTCGCTTGTGAAAGACCAGACATTAGGTGAACAATTAACTGTTGTATGATCTGCCTTCCATAGTTTGGCCAAAGAATAATGCAATGAAGTTACATTACTTTGAAAATTCGACCAGTGTTCAAATTGTGGAGCAAACCACAAGGGACAAGAGATACTTTTCACCAAGGTAGTTTTAAAAGTAGTTTGAAAGAGGTCAAGGTGCACATACATCCAGAGACAACTTTTGGTGCCTCAAATGTTAGATCTGTTTCTGGCAATGATTAGTTAACACCTCTTAATGTGGACAAGGTCCCTGTTTATATGGATATACTTTGATTCAGGTAGTAGGGCTCTTATTTAACTTATAGGAATGATTGTGATTTTAACTAATGTTTTATGATTCTTATTTAATTTTTGTTTGCTCATGCTTTGGCTTATTTTTTTATCTCATGTGTTATTATTTTGTTTATTTTTTATTTTCTATGTATTTTATTGTATTTCTCTATTGTAAGCCACCCTGAGTCCCTTAGGGGAGATGGAACTGGGTATAAATAAAGATTATTATTATTATTAAATTATATCTGTGAATTCCACGAATGGTACTATTTTCCCTGATCATCTCTAGTTTTTAAGATACAGAACATATACCATGTAACAGTTGTTATCTGCTTACCCACAGAAAATCATGATAACCATATCTAAGAAACTAGAGTTGATGTGGTCTATCCAATGTAAATTTTCTAATTCAGTGCCCCAAATAACCCTAAGGAACAGGCCCAAAACCAAGACATCATGAAAAAAAATGTGTTAGGATGCAATTTGAACAATTACTCCAGGCCTATGGCTAGCTAGGGTCCCACCGTAAAAGAGACAAGTGTGAGTTTGATTTCTCTTCCCCACAAATTCCTGATATTTGATGTTTCACTCACATTCTGAGTGCTACTTCAGTAAATAAAAAATTAAATCTGCTAGAATTGTTTTTGCTAGAGAAGGGAAGAATGACTCCGTACCACCGGTACAGGAATGGGTGGAAAAAATCAGAGAAATAAAGGACATGGATGAATTGACTTTTTTTTGTTGAAGAAAAATACAGGTATGATACTAAGAAGAACGAATTGGGATAATCTCCATGAATATCTGGACAATTTGGGAAAATAAGAAACAAGAGAGGCAATTTCTTTTTGAACTTATTTTATATTTTGAATAATAATAAGATATGATCAAAGAAGATGGAATGGAAGTCATTTTTTCTTTTTCTTTTTTTTTGTGTTTTTTGTGTATTTTTGTAGTTAATTTTTTTAGGGGTTATTTGGGATTTTAGCATATTTTTTTGCTTCTTTTTTTCTTCATTTCCTCACTTTTCTATACTTTATTGTTCTCACTCTTTCGTTGTAATCTATATAAAAATTAATTTAAAAAAACTTATGTCAGTGGTTCCCAACCTGTGGGCTGCAAGACCTAAAATAAGGTTCGCAGCTATAGATTATTAAATATGGTTTTCTATGGGCAAGTACATGTTGACTACTGAATGGCTTATGTTCTGTATCAGAAAGTAGAGCTGATGTGGTCTATCTAATGCAATTTTCTGAAAACATTGATTTGTAATCCTTTTGGTACTTAATATTGGACAGTGGTTCCTGGTCAAAGTGGTCCTTGGTAAAGTGGCCCATGGGTCAAAAAAAGGTTGGGAACCACTGACTTATATCCTAAGATGCCTTAGCTCCCATCTTGGTACGTAAAATTATATTGCACACTTTGCCTTCTAGGAGAGAGCTTTTAGTTAAGCTTATATGCCATTTGTCTGGCTCTGTTTTAATTCTCTTACCTCACCAAGGTTCATCACTGCACTGCCAGTACCTTCAGGATCCATGCTTTGGAAGAACCCTGCAAGATTTTAAGAAAAGCAGATTCACTTATCAAAGTTGTCTTTTCCTTTCTGTTTTGCCCTATGGCAGCTTACGAATTAAAGGTTGAGACACATACAGACATTCCAGTTGATAATGGAGACTTCTGCAAAGTGCATAGGTTTGCAAATACATCTTTTTTTTTAAAAAAATAGATTTTTATTGAGTTTCCATGTATATACAAAGAGGTATGTCAAGGGATGTGGGGGGGAGGGGGGGTGGGGTTGGGGTTGGGGGGGGGTGTGGGGGTGTCGTGACTTCCCAAAAATCTTCCAGAAATCTTCATCTCGTATCGTCCTGTTGTCCTGCCAACCGTATTTCTTTTAAAGTTCATAATTTAAATGCAAGACAGATCTATTTGTAGTGGGATCCCCCTTGCTCTAATAAAGTCTTTGAATCCTATCCAGCTTGTTCTTTTGTTCGTTTCTTTCAATCTTTGTGAAAGGCAGTCCATTTGAATGATATCAAAAACCTTTAGGATCCAGTCTTCCAGGCTTGGAATTTCTTTTGATTTCCATGCTCTGGCCAAGACTAGTCTTGCAGCGGTGCTAAGTAAAAAGAGTACCTTATCTTGATTCTTGTTGATTTTTGTGTTTATAATTCCCAATAGGTATGTCTCTGGTGCATGTGGAAAGCTGGTCTTCAGAATTTTTTGAGAGGCTTGGTGTATATTCTTCCAAAATTTTTTATTTTTTTACACGTCCACCATTGGTGATAAAAAGTTCCGATTTCCCTTCTGCACTTCCAACATTTGTTTGATGCAGTTTTATTAAATTTTGCCAATTTTTCTGGTGTGTAGTGCCATCGGTAGAACATCTTGTACCAGTTCTCACGCAGATCACTGGCTTCTACATATTTTAATTTATGATTCCAAATTTCCTCCCATTCTCTTATCAATATACTGTGGCCTACATCCTTTGCCCATTTTACTTGACAATTTTTTACTTGCTCCTCTTCTGTATCCCAAGCCAATAATTGTTGGTAAAGTATTTTAATCATTTTTTTTGGTTTTCCTAGTATCCTCTCCCATATTCCCTGGGTCTGATTAAATCCTACTTTTGCATCTTCTTTATAATCTTGGTATATTTGATAATAATTTAGCCACGATACGTTTTTGCTCATATTTTGGATTTCCTCTAATGATTTTAATATTAGTTTTCCCTCCGCGTTTTTTGTTAATAACTGTTGGTATGTCATCCAATTCTCCTCCCCTAATTCCCTTTTGTGTTTAGCTTCTACAGGGGATAGCCATAATGGTGTTCCATTACATAGCCTGGGTTTATGTTTCTCCCATGTTTTCATCAGTGCAGCTCTGATGTAGTGATCGCTAAAACCTTTTTCTACTCGTCTCTTATTATGCCACAGATACCCGTGCCATCCGGCTCTGAGATCGTGGCCCTCCAGTGCTAATGGCGGGGTATCTTCTAGTGTGGCCCATTCTTTTATAGCAACTAAGTTGCATGCCTCGTAGTAGGCTTTAAAGTTTGGTAAGCCCAATCCACCTCTTTTCTTTTCGTCTGTTAATATCTTTAAACTAATTCTCGCTTTTTTGTTTTTCCAGATAAATTTAGAGAGGTCTGAGTTCCATTTCTTAAATAGGAAATCGCTTCTGATTACTGGAAGGGCTTGGAACATGAATAATAATTGGGGGAGTATTATCATCTTCGCTAATGCTATGCGGCCTAATAAGGATATATTTTGCTATTTCCAATTGTCCATATCCTTTTTTATTTTTTTCCAAAGTGGTTCATAGTTATTTTTTATTAGGGATACGTTGCTCTTTGTGATGTAAATCCCTAAATATCTTATTTTATTTTCTATTTTAATCCCTGAAATTTCTTGTAGTGTGCTTTTGGCTTTTTGATCCATATTTTTGACCAAAAATTTTGTTTTTTGTCTGTTTAGTTTAAATCCAGCCAGATTTCCAAAGTTCTCGATTTTTTGTAGCCAACTCTTGATGTTACATAACGGGTCTTCCACGATACATACTACGTCATCGGCATATGCTCTCAGTTTGTAATGATGTTTATTTATTTTCATGCCTTTCAAATTTGAGTCTTTATTTATATTTCTGATCAATACTTCCATTACTAAAATAAAGAGGAGAGGGGATAGGGGGCAGCCCTGACGTGTACCTTGTGTAATGTTTATCTGTTTTTTTATTTCTTGACTGTTTATTATGAGGGTTGCTTCCTGGTTTGCGTAGATTGCCTCTATTGCGTTTTGTATGTGATAGCCCATGTCCATTTCTTTTGTTAGGAGTGTTAAGAAATCCCAGTTAACCTTATCAAAGGCTTTTTCCGCATCTATAAATAGGAGAGCCAATTGTTTTTCATTGTGCCTTTCGTAATATTCTAGGGTATTGATTAGTATCCTGGTATTGTCTTTTAACTGTCTATTTGGGAGAAACCCCGCTTGTTCTTTTGAGATCCAATCTTTCAAGAACTTTTTAAGCCTTTCCGCCATAATAGTGGCAAATTTTTTGTAGTTGTTGTTTAACAACGAGATAGGTCGGTAGTTTTTGACGTCCGTCGGGTCCGTTCCTTCCTTCTGGATCAACACTATGTTTGTTTTTTCCCATGATTTGGGGATGGCTTTATTCTCTAAGACATCATTTAATATGTCTTTTAATAGGGGGGTTAATTCGTTGCGAAATATTTTATAAAAGGTGGCTGTGTAGCCATCCGGGCCAGGTGCCTTGTTAGATTTTAATTTGCTAATGGCTATATCAATTTCATGTGTGGAGATTGCCCCATTCAGGATTTCTCGTTGGGTTTCATTTAATTTAGGGATGTTTGAGTCGCATAGGTATTTTGTGATGTTATCTATTGGTATGTTCCTTTTACTATACAGTTCTCTATAAAATTGTATAAATTGATTCGCGATGCCTTGTGTCTCCGTATGTTTTCCCTTGCGAGTGTATTTTAGAGATTATTTGCCTTTGTTTGCGTTTTTTGATTTTATTGGCGAGCCATTTACCAATCTTATTTGCGTTTTGAAAGTAGTTTACCTTTACGAATTTCATTTGTTTCTCTAACTTTTCTGTTTGTAGTAAATTTAATTGTTTTCTAAGGGCTTTTGAGGAGAGGATTAATTTTTTATCCTTTGGGTTCTTTTTCAACAGTTCTTCATTTTTGTTTATTTTTTCCATTACCTCTGTGAAGTCTTTGATTTTATTTTTCCTATTTATCGCTTCCTGCTGTATCATGTACCCCCTCATTACAGCTTTCATCGCCTCCCATTGTGTGATTTTTGATGTTTCTTACCCTTTATTTAAGTCTAGATACTCTAATAGCAATTTCCTATTTCTTTCAATATCTCCCTCTTTTCTCAATAAGTTTTCATTAAGTCTCCATCTATAAGATATTGGCTCCCCTTTAATTGTCAGTTCTAGAGCACAGTGATCAGAGAAGGTCCTCGGTATTATGTTAAGCTGTTTAGTTCTAATACTTAATGGGGTCGTGGCCCAAACCATATCAATACGGGACCAAGATTCATGTCTTCCCGAATAATATGTGAAATCTTTTATTGTTCCCTTATGATGTCGCCAGAGATCTTTTAAGTTTAATGCTGCTAGTTGTGCTAGAAATTCTTAGGGTAATAAACCAGCTTTGTTGGATCCTTTACCTTTTCTCTTATTGCATCGGGATTTGTCTAAAGCATTGTCCACCACTCCATTAAAGTCACCTATTAGGATTAATTCGTCAAATTTACATTTATC